AAGGCACTCAAGAATTCAGCGTTTTCAGGCTGATTAAGAAGCCTAGTCATTACTGCAGGCGGGGAGGGGGACAGGGGGATGCTGCCTTCCCGCATCCGGGGGCCAGGGGAGCAGAGGCAGAGCCTCCACCCACGATCCTGTCCTGGGGCAGCAACCGCAGAGGGTGAGGACCGCAGGGATTAGGAAGTCTGTTTGTCCCAGCCAAATTCTCCCCTTAAAAGGGCAAAACCTGCAAACTGTCCCCACATCTCAGGGCTGGAGCTGGGAGGGGACAGCAGCTTGGCAGAGACAGGGCACAGCATCAGTCATGCCACCCTCGCCAGCTCCAGCAAGCCCTCGGTTCCTCCCACTCGCTCCAAAGCCGCTCTCCTTGGGGAACGGCTCACGACAGTGGGCAGAGGAAGGGCTGGGATCGGGAGGAGACATGGGAAAGCAGGAGATGGCTGTTGAAAATAGATCAGATAAAAGCCACGGGCAGAGCAGCCCGTGAGCAGGAGCTGCCAAGGCCGCTTCGACCAGCCACAGACCTTCCCAAGAGGGCAGCCCCGCACAGGGGCTCCTCGAGGCACTCCTCAAACAGTGAACACACCCCAGAAACCCCAGCTACTCCCAGGACACCACTATGTGCTGGGGATTTGCTTTGGCCACCAGCACCTGGGGACTCGGAGCAGCTGTGGGAGCAGAACAGGCTCCTCTTCCTCGGGAAGGTCGCCCCTCGCTGCCCGTCCATGGGGCTCAGCGACACCACACGCCTCCCAAAAGCTGGCCGGGACCCACCTCCCCACATTCACCCCGTGGCGAGGCCGGGAGGTGGCTCAGCCCCCAGCGTCCCAGCCGGAGGGGAGCGGGCAGGTGGCACCGCCGGCAGGAGCTGGTGCTGCCGGGAGCAGCCCCCGAGGCACGGGACAGATCTGGTCCCTGCCCTTCTCAGCACAGATGAGCTAAGTGCTGCCTGGAGTTTTTAGAAACCAAAACAGGATGTTTCCAGGCTGCCAGCCGGCCGCACAGGGTTACCAGGCCTGAATTAGCCGGCTCGCCGCCCAGCCCAGCCCTCCTACGAGTGCTCCCATCTGGGCATTGTCTTTTAATAGACGCGTGGAAACAAACCCAGTGAGGCCACGTGAGAGCGGCGGGGCTGGGAACATGCTCTTAAAATAGGAGCAGGGAGAAAACAAGTCACAGCGCAGATGGGAACAGCCTCTCGCGGCCACACCGGTGGGACGGAGCGGGGAGTGCGGAGGGCAGCCCACCTCCCAGGCGGCTGGCAAGGACCCCGCTGTCCCCCATCCATCATGGACCTCGGGTGGCCGCCCCATCGTGTGCTCTGCCCCATCACCCCTCCTGGGCCAGAGGCAGAGAGACCAGACGATGCCGAAGAGGAAAGTGGCGTCAGCCAGGATGACATCAACCTTGCAGCTCCCCGCTTCTGCCAAGGCAGAGCCCCCGCACAGCAGAGGCTGACACAGGCCCTGGGCACGAAAGCCAGGAATGGCCGCCTCCTCCCGCTGCGGTGGCCAGAAGGTTCCGGCATGAGACGCCAGCAGAGGTGGCAGCACCAGTCTCTGTCTCACTCGGAACACCAGACCGCAAACTGCGGCCGAAGAGGAGGGAGGGCAGCGCATGCAGCCAGGAGCCGGCACCAGCTGCGCGGGGTTGGGGCACGACCACTGGGAACCACCACCGGGATAGCCCCGGCACCACGTGGACAGCAGGGGCTCAGCTCCTTTAACACGGAGCTGAGAAATTCCCCCTGCCCCTGCAAAAGGGGGAGCAGGCAGCCACGTCCCCCAGCACCCAGCCCTCACGCCTGCAGCGCCAGGAGCAGAGATGGCACCCATGTACCAGCACCCTGGAGCTGGGGCAGGAGGAACACCCCCTTGCCCCACGGCAGCGGGACATGCAGCCAAAGAGGCGCCTGGCTCCAAAACCCCAAACCTGGCTCTGGCGCCTGGCTCCAAAACCCCAAACTCAGTTTATTCCTCTTACCCACCCCCTTCCAGTTCACCCAAGACCCATCTCACGGCTTGTTCTCCAAGGCCCTGAGCAAGCCCCTGGCCCCTCTGCAGCAGCAGGCAGCACACCCGCCATGCAGCACTGCCTGCCTCTCCCCTGCCCGTGCCAGGGCTGCGACTGGAGATAGCAGCTCCCCCAGCCTTTCGCTGCTGCTGTGTCACACCAGAAGCCACATGCCTGGGGACATCCCGCAGCCACACGCGGGGCTTTGCAGAACAAGAGGTCTCATGAAGGGAAATACTTCATCCGAGTGACCCAGAGCTGTCTCCCGCCTGCCCTCGGGGATGCACGTGCCCGTCGCCAGCTGAGCTGTGACTTTTGGACATCACACAAGCAGAGAAAGCAAAGAATCCTTCACTGAAGAAATCACTTGAATTTGCACGAGCTCGTGACAGGTAACAGCAGTTTCTCACGGCCATGCCTAGATCACAATACCCGATGTGGCTTTTGAAACAAAACCCCCCCCCCGGGGGGAGCAAGCCCTGCTGTCAGTAGAGGCCCCTTTGGCCACCGCAAGACAAACGTGGATTGTGGCGACTCTCTCAGCACCCACGGCACCAGCTCTCAGCCAGGGACCTCTGGGCTCTGTTTTCTCTCTGCGCAGAGGGCTGTGGAATTTCACACCCCGTCACCAAGATTAGCAGCAAATCCCAAGATGACATTTGTTCAGGAGAAGAAAGAGAAGCCCTGACCAAGCAGTTTCCCTTGAGGGGACAGTGTAGAAATAGCTGAGGAGCAAAGAATGACCCTTTTCTTTCCATCCTGCCTGGAAGCGAGTGTGCCAGTATCCATCACCAAGCCCATGAAAATAAACATGGCTCTGCGTATAAACAGAGCAAACATCAAACAGCATTCCCATGTGCAAAGGACCCGTACTCCACTCCGGAGAAGGCAGCAGCCTCTGTGGCTGGGGCAAAAGGCACCAGCCTCTGTGGCGGGTACATACAGCAAGGCTCTGCCCCGTGTAGCACTACATCAAACTGTGGAGTTATGACCAGAACCACCCTAAATTCAGGTGAGTGTTGGATGAATTGAAAACTAGCTAGGAAGTTCCCTGTACCAGAGCAGCCATGGGATTTTTAACGATTGCAAGCATACCTGGAAGGTCTCTGAAGGTCCCCTGCAGAAGTACTGGCCAGACCTTGCCACACTTCTCTCGCAACGACACCAAAAGCAGAAACTACTTACAGACAATCGGAAAGCAGTCAGGAATCAGAAGTAAGCAGTCACACCTAGCCACCAGGCTGAGCCTCCCAAACTAGAACTTTCTTTGCAGACCTTCTAGCACCTCCCGATAGCTGCTACGTGGCTGCAAAGTCCAGCTCCTGTCAGGAGACTGAGCACTCTCTCACCCCTGAGAAGGCTTTAACACCTGGACAGCAGGAACCAAGAGGAGCAGCCACAGCAAAAGGGCACTAACTGTGTTGAGCAACCTGCTCCCAGTTCCCTCTCCCACTCCCTCCTCGGGTGGGAGACGAACACACGATATAGAGGGCCAGGGTCCCTTTTTAGAGGCAAAACCATTTCTCCCCTTCGCTCATCTCTTGTATGTGCCTGGCAGATGAAGGAGCAGAAGAGCTCGAGGTGTGGGGCTTGTTGCTGAGAGTGCTCCTAAGCCTGGGGGCATGCAGAAGCTCTTATCGGGCGCCCTCGCTACAGGCACACTCCTAACCAGAACATCTGTATAGGCTGCTGGGCCACTGCCATGCTCTGGAAATATAAATAGGTGTTAAATTCAACTCCATGTTGACAGTGTGACACGTCTCTCAATAACCACAGCTCCAAAAGGAGCAGCGCTGAGCTGCTCCAGCCCAGCGAGGAGGCAAGGAAGGGCACCGCGCCAGGCACAGGATGGCCTGGTGCCCAAGCATCTCATTTCCTTTGGAAGCAGCTGTTATTTCCCTGCAGCTCTGCTTGCTCTGCTTCCCCTGCTCTCCCTGGACCTTCGGAAGCGTCCCCCTGTGACCATTGCCCGGAGGGCCATTGTGCTTCCCAGCCTGGCCCAGTGCCTGCCAGGGCTGTACTCGAGGCAAGAGCTGGGGTCCCCGTAATTCCCATTTGAAGGGACCCCTGCAGACCAGCCCTTTGCTGGTTTGCCTGGTAACAGCCTGCCCCACACCTCCCTGGCAGACTATTCCCTCAGCTGCCAGTAGAGCAACCGGTGGAAACTGTCTGGGCCATCACAGACCTGATATTCCTTGAGAAACAAATACTTTACGGGAGGCTCAGGTCAGCCGCACCCCGGCTGTATGGCCACCCCTCAGCACCTCCCAGCTCCGCTGTGCTCCAGGAGGTCAGCCAGCCCACCCTGCTCCACACCTCCTACGGGCTGCTTTGCTGGGGGTCACTGGGAGATCTGGAGTGGGGTCCACTGCACAAGGATGATCCAGACTTCTCAGCTGCCTTGCGGCCGCAGCAACCACCAACAGACTGTCAGGTGCTGCCAGCACAGGACCCTTACCTTGGTCGGCTTCCAAAGCAGTTTGTACTGGGAGGCTGGTGTCTGCCCTCTGCGGCTGCAGCCGTGCTGCTGGGGTCCCGTCCAGGCACCTGGGACCCTGAATGGGTGAAGAAAAAGTGGGTGAAGAAAATGCCTGAGGCACCCACTACTTCTAACCTCCTTCCTTCCTTCCCTCCCTCCTTCCAGAAAGGAGACCCAAAGGCACAACAGCTCCACATATTACAGGACAGACCCACCAGCATACAAGGACTCCCTGCCCTTACGCTGGGGTGCTCTCCTCTCCCACCGCTGTGCAACGGCATAGCCCTTCCCCACAGCAGCCTGTGGCTCCGAGCGCCACACCAGGGAAGGTAAATGAAAGACGTTGCAGAACGGGCAGCATCAGGAGAGCGGCCGCATTTAAGACTCCCAGATTTCACAGGCTTCATCTCCCTGCAAGGAAGGGAAGGAGCCAAGGGAAAACAATGGACCAGTCCCTGCCCAGCACAAACTCTGCTTGCTCCCCAGGCAGCCCCGACGGGTCAGACATCAGTCTGTGTCTCTGCACACCCTCGGCCCCGAGGAGCCCTTTTCCGAGTGGTTCATTAAACACAGAAGCCATTTCCCCAGAACACGGGACAGAGAGGGAAGGGGTTGAGCCGCACGGGCGGCTGGTGGAGGCCCGGAGAAGGGCCGCTCCTCTCAGGCCAGCGGGGAGGCAAGGCATGAGCCTGTCGACGCTCCCGCTCCTGTCCCACACCACACGCTTGCTTCCGCGGGAGCCCATGCGCAAGCCTGGAGTTGGGGCGGGCAGGGGCCACAGCCTTACCTGGAAGAGGAGGCGGCTGCTGGCACTCGGACGCTTGCTCAGAGGTCCCGGGAGCTGTGCTCTCAGCCCCACTCCTCTCCCCGCCACTGCTCACCGCCTCGTGCTCAGAGCCGCCACATGCATGCGGAGACGGGCGGCACTCACCCTCTGTCACGGCACTGCCATTAGGCAGGCTTCCCAGATCAACAGCAGGCCCGTCCAGGAAAATCGTCAGCTCTCCGCCGGAGACAACGCTGCCTTTGTTCTCCGTCTGCAGGTCCAGGGTCAGCTGCCTGTTCTCCACTGTGGGAGACGAGGGGACATGGAGAAAAAGACCAAGCAGTCACCACTCAGGGTGCCAGCTGTGATGGAGGATGGCTCCACCACCCCAGGCCCCCATGGGATGGGACGTCAGCCTCCTGGTCCCCTCCAGGCCTCCCCACGCCCCCAAAGGACAATGTGCCCTGAGGGCCAGTTGTCCCAGAGAGCACCACCAGCACTAGCCTCACACCTACACCATACCTGCCAGCATCGCCAGACGACACCCAGCCAGCCCCACCACCATCTCCCGAGGAAGACCCTCCTTCACCAGCCATTGCTCGCAAAGCAGGGTCCCTCCGCAGGGGTGGAGCTGCCCCAGGGCCCCTGGCTGCAACAGAGCCGAGACCACCATCGCTCACAGATCCAGAAGCTGGAGCTGTAGGGGAAATCGTGGCAGGAAAGCTGAGGGATTCGGCTGGTTTGACATGACACATGGGGCAAGAAGGGTCCTGCACGATGGTGACCACCGGCAGACGCCTGGGACACAAAGCAGACTGACAGCTACATGCCCAAGGATGCCTGAAGCCCTGGCCTGCTGCAGAGGAGCAAGCAGCATCTTTCAGAATGGGGGTACCCTCATGCCATCTAGAAAACCCAGCCAAGCAGCAAAGGAAAACCCCAGGCACACCCCTCCATTCTCATCCCCATGTATCAGTTCCACTGAACGCAACCAGCACAAAGGGCTGCCCCCAAATGCACAGAAACGCCCCGCTGCAGCATCAGACCACCTTTGCAGAAGCTTCTGGAGTGGGTGGCATGGGCTGGGAGGCTCCTGGAGACAGTCGCCAGCTCCACTCCCCTCCCTCATGAGCCAGTTTGGCTCCAGCAGCTTAGCGAGACTTTGCCAGTCGCAGCTCCACGTGCAGCTGGACGCAGCGGCTTTGCTCAGGGGTAATGGCCCCAGGAACACCATTCACCATTCTTCCCTTGGGCATGGAGCGAGGGGCTGCAGCGGCAGGGGAGGGGGGGCGGT